ATCTCCTTTTAGAATTTTCTGTATACGGTGTAAATTTTCAAGGTTCGAAAAATTTCCCCGCTGTGTGGTTTCGAGGTATGTTTTTTTAAATCTTGGCCAAGCTTTGAAGTTTCCATCAAAATATGGCAACTCCAGTAATGACTGTCTTAAAATGTATTTTTCCGTTGTGTTTTGTCCGCTAGCATTGATACCATTAATTATTTTAATGATCGCTTCGAAAGCTTCTACTTGGCTATCTGCATTAGTCTTGTATTCTTTCCTGTTTTGAAGAGTTTGTATTTGCTCTTCCTGTGTAGCCAAATGGACTCTAATCTTAGTACATTTTGTACATGTCCAAGGCTCTTTTTTCTTCGGTATGTGATCTAATCCTACACAGGTCAGGTGGAACCAGCGATCGCAATCGTCGCAGGCCACCATGTTATCACTGTCGTCTTTCATACAAAGACGACAGTGTCGGTTTTTATTAACAACAAATTTTTCACTCATCTTGTTTTTTTTTTAATTTATAAATTTCTACCTGATAATATAATAGCGTCAACTCTGATTTTACTCACACTTTAATTTGAACTTTGTTGATATTAATGGCCTAACAGCTCGCCATTGGTCTGCTCCTTGCCACTGGACGTCCTTCTAGGATTTCGGTTGGCCTATAGCTTTTGTGATATTTTCGGCCTTCAGCCGTGGGAGTCCGGATTTGATGAACTTGTAGCCTTGTTGCTTGTGGTCTGCTTCTGGCCTTCAGCCGTGGGAAAGTGCGGCGTTTTATTACTCTGGCTTGAGCTACTTCTTTGTGGCGTGGTGTAAAGTGAATTTGCTAATATGTTGCCGGAACACTTTTCCTTTATCGGTACCGCGCCACAAGGTCACTGGAAACGCCTTGCTTACACAATACACTCCCTTTGGAAAGGGTTCATTTAGCCACTTTTTATATTTCTTTACTTTTTTTAATTTTGCAACCTGAATGTCGATTTCGTTGAAATACTCGACCAATTCATCAATTTCTTTTTGCAAATCGTTCATGTCCACTTCCACCGATGTCCGGATTTTCTGAAACTTTTCAGATCACTTGGCTATAAGCCTACTTGGCTTTGACGAGCCCAAATGTTCGCACTATCTGACCTTTGTCAGATTTGCACTTTGGCTCAACGGCCCACTTAAAACGCCAACTTTGCGGTTCTTTGCAGTCAGATTTCGACTGACTGCTATTTGGCTTAACGCCACACTATTTGGCACAAAGGCCCACTGGAACTGCCAACTTGCGGTTCTTTACAGTCAGATTTCGACTGACTGCTATTTGGCTTAACGCCACACTATTTGGCACAAAGGCCCACTGGAACTGCCAACTTGCGGTTCTTTACAGTCAGATTTCGACTGACTGCTATTTGGCTTAACGCCACACTATTTGGCACAAAGGCCCACTGGAACTGCCAACTTGCGGTTCTTTACAGTCAGATTTCGACTGACTGCTATTTGGCTTAACGCCACACTATTTGGCACAAAGGCCCACTGGAACTGCCAACTTGCGGTTCTTTACAGTCAGATTTCGACTGACTGCTATTTGGCTTAACGCCACACTATTTGGCACAAAGGCCCACTGGAACTGCCAACTTGCGGTTCTTTTACAGTCAGATTTCGGCTGACTGCTATTTGGCTTAACGCCACACTTTGTCAGATTGACACTTTGGCTCAACGGCCCACTTAAACCGCCAACTTTGCGGTTCTTTGCAGTCAGATTTCGACTGACTGCTATTTGGCTTAACGCCACACTATTTGGCACAAAGGCCCACTGGAACTGCCAACTTGCGGTTCTTTACAGTCAGATTTCGACTGACTGCTATTTGGCTTAACGCCACACTATTTGGCACAAAGGCCCACTGGAACTGCCAACTTGCGGTTCTTTACAGTCAGATTTCGACTGACTGCTATTTGGCTTAACGCCACACTATTTGGCACAAAGGCCCACTGGAACTGCCAACTTGCGGTTCTTTACAGTCAGATTTCGACTGACTGCTATTTGGCTTAACGCCACACTATTTGGCACAAAGGCCCACTGGAACTGCCAACTTGCGGTTCTTTTACAGTCAGATTTCGACTGACTGCTATTTGGCTTAACGCCACACTATTTGGCACAAAGGCCCACTGGAACTGCCAACTTGCGGTTCTTTTACAGTCAGATTTCGACTGACTGCTATTTGGCTTAACGCCACACTTTGTCAGATTGACACTTTGGCTCAACGGCCCACTTAAACCGCCAACTTTGCGGTTCTTTGCAGTCAGATTTCGACTGACTGCTATTTGGCTTAACGCCACACTTTGTCAGATTGACACTTTGGCTCAACGGCCCACTTAAACCGCCAACTTTGCGGTTCTTTGCAGTCAGATTTCGACTGACTGCTATTTGGCTTAACGCCACACTTTGTCAGATTGACACTTTGGCTCAACGGCCCACTTAAACCGCCAACTTTGCGGTTCTTTGCAGTCAGATTTCGACTGACTGCTATTTGGCTTAACGCCACACTTTGTCAGATTGACACTTTGGCTCAACGGCCCACTTAAACCGCCAACTTTGCGGTTCTTTGCAGTCAGATTTCGACTGACTGCTATTTGGCTTAACGCCACACTTTGTCAGATTGACACTTTGGCTCAACGGCCCACTTAAACCGCCAACTTTGCGGTCCTTTGCAGTCAGATTTCGACTGACTGGAAGTTCGCGGGCTCAAAACGTCGGAAAACGTCCTCCAAGATTCCTCTCTGGAGCCACCATGAAATGTCGCCGCCAAAAGCTACTTTCTTCTCCGGTTAAGGAGAGTCTTTCGCTTTCAGATCAGACACTGTTTCTCGATTCTAGGAGCTACTTTTTTCCCCGGTTAAGGAGAGAAGTTTTCACTTCTAGGCCGAAAGTTCTTTCGGATTCAAAAAAGAGAAGAATCTGGAGTAACCTATGAAACTTCATTTTATTCAACAAAATTGTACAAAGTGATCTTACAGCTACGTGTTGCATTAGCAACTTATAATTATGTAAAACTTTTACTTGGTTCGTCCAGGGTTTTACATATCCCTTTCAATACCGGACTTTTGACCTAATTTTGCCTATTCTATTAGCTAGGATTTCGATCGCCCTTGAAAGGGTAAATTTGTGTTATTTGGATCTTATATACTATGCCTTCTCAGATCTGGGATTTCTCGGGTTATCTTGTAAGTTTATTTCTTTTTGTAACTCAGATCTGATATGGCTCTACAAATAAGAATGAGACATTTGTAACGTTTAAACATTATAATTATATCCTTCGTTAAGGATAAACAGAGAGGGAAAGCTAAACGTAACCTAGATGCGCAAGCATGCCATGCGTGGGCGTGTTTATCCTACTTGAACGCAGAAACGTTCCTAAGTAAATACTGCAGTTAGATTATGTAAAACGAGCTCTCGCTCCTTTTGCCCTACTTTTCATTTCATATTCTTGGCCTTGGATCAACGTCAGCTAGGGCTATGCAAACGGGATGCAACTGTGAGTATCTTATGGTTTTGGTTTGAAATTAATTGCCTCGCGGTAACAATGTAACATACCTTACGTTTCCTAAATTTGCATGAGCCCCTCAGGACATTGCTGAAGTTTTCAGAAATTGCCTGAGTTTCTCGGAACTCCTTTAGAATTTCAGCAATTTCATTAATTAATTGATGTGGACTGATGTTCTCTAGGCTTCACTAAAGTTCCTTAAAACCATTAAATTTCCCTGAAGTTCTTTGGACTTGTGAATTTTCCAAAATATTTATGATGTTTCCTTAAGTTCACTGGAGTTTGCTGGACTTTTCTGAAACTCCAGGGTTTTCGAATTATAACAGAAGTTAATGAAACTGTCTTTAATTTATCGAAACTTACACAAAAGGCTGGACTTTTTTGAAGTTTCAGAACTTCTCAAATGTGCCTGCAGCTAGTCCGCAATACAAATCTGATAGCATCCTTCAAGTTTCGGGAAATTTGAAGAACTGGCGGGAGAAGATGAAAGATTCATTCGAGCGAATGCTGAAGAAGCTTCCAAGGTAAGGTGGAAGAAAATTCAAGGAAAAGTTGGATGAAACTTCAGGAAGTTAAAAAATAAATAAAAACTTCCGGAAGTTAAATAATGTTTGAAACATATTTCTCGATTGTATAGGAATTACCCTCGGAATTACCGGAAAGAGCCATCGACTATTTTTCGATTGATTGGTATCCAAAAACGGTGAGGAAATGAAAACATTAGTCGAAAGTGTATCAAGCATGAGGAATCTTTAGATCTCTCACAAAAAAATTCTCCGAAATTTGAGCGCGGGCAGGCAAAAATAATTTTGATTATTAAAAAAAAACGGTATAAATCGGTATAAAATCTTAAACATCGGTATTCCGAGGAACCTTATCTGTATATCGGTTTCTAGTTCGGAAATCGATATATCTGGCAACGCTGAGACTTACCCCCTTTTTTCGGTAAACTGAAATCCATATTTATTGCACAGGGGATTCGAAGCGTGCTGTCACAAAACAAGCATTAACGGTCGAGATTAACGGCGCTTCGATAGTAGCCGTGTGTCAATCTGTCAAAACATACACAGAAATTCAAAACAACCCAAAATTAAGTTCTTTTCACTCATCTCCCATGTTCCGTACAATAAGCCAAATTTGGGTAAACCGGCTCAAAGTAGTTTGCATTTAAGCACGGCAAAAAAAATTACCCATCGCTAAGTAATTTTCAATTGTTTCTACCCAAAATTAAGTTCAATTAACTCAAATTTGGGTATATCGCATATTACTCAATTTTGGCTTCTTGTACGGAACTAGACGGTTGAGTCGAATCTTTCGTTCTATTTTTGACAACAATAGCGAGAGGAAATGAAACGGACAGAGGTCAAATAACTCAAATTTGAGTTTAAAAAACCCAAGCGGTGGGTAGTTTTGTTTTTCTGTGTAACCTCTTTCCCCCTCTGACAGCGATTCACACCTCTTGCTTGCGTTCTTGTCTGATCAACGAACAATCCCTTGTGCGTAATTTTCGTATTTTTTAGCGGCATTGCGTCGTGTGTGCGTCGTATTCAAAGTTTTTCCTGTTTGATTCTGGTGAAAAAGACGGACCATATTCCGATTGTGTACCCCAGAAGCGATAAAACTAGCAGGAACAGTTCGAGACCACGATGGATTTCTTAGAGTACTCATCCATTAGCTCGGAAGTCCGGGGAGCGATGGTAAGTTTGTTGATGCCGCCGCCATTGTAGAGAGGTGCGGAAAATGATTTTTGATTTTTTTTCCCCAGTGCTCCGGTAAGCTGAAGATGACTGATACGTCGATCGTTTTCAAGAACGAAAAAACCGGAAAGGTGGAACAGATCAACGCATCGGACATTGAACTGATCAACTTTCAGAAGTTTGTTGGCAGTTTCGGATTGAGGGTGTTTATGAAGAATGGGCTGCTTCATAGGTTCATTGGATTCACCGGGGATGAGCAGAAGATTGCGGACTTTGTGAAGAAAAACTACAAGCTGGATATGCTGGAGAAAGAGCTTTCGATGAGAGGCTGGAACTGGGGTACGGTTCACTTCAAGGGGAGTGTGCTTTCGTTTGACGTGGAGAGCAAAACCAGCTTCGAAATTCCGCTGAATCATGTCTCGCAGTGTAACAGCGGCAAGAACGAGGTGACGGTGGAATTCCATCGGAATGATGACGCTCCGGTGAGCCTGATGGAGATGCGCTTCCACATTCCCACGTCGGAGTCGGTGGAAACGGATCCGGTGGAAGCCTTCCAGGAGCAGGTTATGAAGCAAGCTTCGGTCATCTCCGCTACCGGCGATGCGATTGCCATCTTCCGAGAGATTCACTGTCTTACGCCGCGTGGTCGCTACGATATTAAAGTATTCCAGAGCTTCTTCCAGCTGCACGGTAAGACGTACGATTTCAAGATTCCGACGTCGTCGGTGTTGCGACTGTTCCTGCTTCCACACAAGGACAATCGACAGATGTTTTTCGTCATTTCGTTGGATCCTCCGATCAAGCAGGGTCAGACGCGGTACCACTTCTTGGTGACGCTGTTCCAGATGGACGAAGAAACGAATATCGAGCTGCCGTTTACGGAGGAGGAGCTAAAGGAGAAATACGAGGATAAACTGACCAAGGAACTGGCCGGACCGGTGTATGAAGTGCTGGGCAAGATCATGAAGGTTATCATTAACCGGAAGCTGACCGGACCGGGGACTTTTATTGGGTGAGTGTGATTTGTATGAATTTGATAGGGATTTATGTAACGCTTCTGCGCATCTTGTTCTAGTCACTCGGGAACTCCAGCGATCGGTTGCTCGTACAAGGCCGCCGCCGGTTATCTGTACCCACTGGAGCGAGGTTTCATCTACGTGCATAAACCACCGGTTCACATTCGGTTCGAGGAAATCCAGTCGGTTAACTTTGCCCGTAGCGGTGGATCGACTAGGAGTTTCGATTTCGAAATCGAACTGAAAACTGGAACCATCTACACGTTCAGCAGCATCGAGAAGGAGGAGTACGGCAAGCTGTTCGATTTCATCTCGTCGAAGAAGTTGCACGTCAAGAACACCGGCAAGGATGGCAAGAACAACTACAAGGAGGACTTTGCCGATTCGGACAACGAGGTCGAACCGGATGCCTATCTGGCGCGCGTCAAGGCCGAAGCAAAGGAACGGGACGATGACGACGATGGAAGCGAATCGGAGGAATCGACTGATGAGGACTTCAACCCCAATCAGCAGGAATCGGACGTTGCCGAAGAGTTTGACTCGAATGTGGAATCCACATCGGATGAAGATTCCGAAGGTGGCGACGGCGGTGGCTCGGATGGTGCTGTAAAGCAGAAGAAGGAGGAGAAAAAGAAAGAGAAGAAGGAAAAGAAGAAAGAGCGGAAGGAGAAGCCCAAGAAGTCCAAATCCGGAGGGCCGAAACGTCCGGCGACGGCTTTCATGATATGGTTGAACGCCACTCGGGAGAGCATTAAGAAGGAAACTCCTGGAATCTCGGTAACGGAGATCGCCAAGAAGGGAGGCGAAATGTGGAAGGAAATGAAGGACAAATCCGAGTGGGAGTCTCGGGCGGCGAAGGCAAAGGAAGAGTATGTAGAAGCAATGAAGGTCTACAAGGCATCGGTAGGTGCTGGCAGTGGCGACGAAGCCGACAAGAGCACGTCCGCCGTGAAGAGGAAGAAGGAAACCTCTTCGCCGATGAAGGGTGGCAGCTTCAAGAGCAAGGAGTACATCTCGGACGATGACTCGAGCAGTGAGGACGATAAGAAGGATTCCAAGAAGGCGAAGAAGGGTGACGATAAGGGCAAGAAGGCCGGCGATGGGAAGAAGGTAAGTCACTAAATCCTACCAATGTTTGGGTAGTAGATTTATAATCGATTTTTTTCATCTTTCTCCCTAGAAATCTGAGAAAACCGAATCGGAGCCTGAATCGGAAGCAGCTGGCAGTGGATCCGAGGAGGAGGAGGAGGACGATGCGGGCAGTGATTGAGTTGCCAAGCATTCGCAGGCAAGTATCTACCTACCTATCTCTTCAGCTACACCTTTTCTCGGCTCGTTATTGATTATTTGAGTTGGAATCAATCCTAAGGATTAGTATTAGGGAGCACATAATCGTTTTACTGTATCGAATAAGGTTATATAAATAAGATAACAATGATGATTTACCTGTACAAATTCTGGCGCTCAGTTGTTGGTTCATGCTGTCCGAAATTCCATTTGGTTATCGACTATGCTTCAACATTGTTCTACCTTCCTTTTAAGTGCTGCTCGTACTTATAACTCGTTGAAGTTTTGAACATGACAATGAACTTTTCTTAATATTTTTCCCTTTTTACTTGTCAGTCTTACCCCATATTCTGGTTTTCGTTCAAACTTCCGCCATTCGAAAGAGGGAACTTTCCCCATCATTTTTAGACTACTAATGAAATGTTTCATCCCGATGTCCAATTTCTCAACAGAACACCCTAAAGCTTCTCTCCAAAGAAATCTTGGTAATCGTTTTTCAACTCTCTTCGATTTTTTAAAAATTCTTGCAGAATTTACAAACATTTATTTCCATAGCTTTCTTGAACGCCTCCTTGAATTATTCAACCCAATTTTGACCAACAATTTCTTCTGCATTCCCTTGGGGTTCTTTTCCGAATACGTTCGCAAACATCCTTTAAATATCAAACTTGTTGGAGTAAATCGGTAACGCAGTGTGCTGATCACCTCCTTGGAGACCGAACGTCACCCCTAGCAACCTAAGTTTTCTTAAATAAACAACGGTGAAAAACTTTTCATTCCTGTTCAAGACTCCACTCAAGCTAGTCGTTAAATAAAATCCATTCTACTTTTAAACTTTGCTGTTCCGGTTCTTTCTAACCATCAAGAGGTTATGGGCGACTCACGCAAGGATTTGGTCCACGGGATCCCGCAGTTCTCGGGCACCGGTTTCGACAATTGGCAATTTCGAGTGGAGAAGTATCTGAAGTCCGTGAAGCTGTTGGATATCATCAAGAAGGATCCTCCGATGGAAGCGACCGAGCTCACGAAGTTCCAGGAAGATGACGGTAAGGCGGCGTTCCTGCTGACGTCATTTGTTCATGACGATTTGCTGCATTTGGTGCGGGACAAGGAGACGTCCAAGGAGATGTGGATGAGCCTTGAATCCGCCTACGCCAAGAAGTCCGTCTCGTCGCAGACATTCGTTAGGAAGCAACTTGCGAAGCTACGAATGATGGAAGGTTCGTCTGTTAAAGATCACCTGAAAACCTTCGAAGAGCTGATCCGACAACTGAAGCTGGCCGGAGCGAAGCTTGAAGAGAACGATATTGTGTCCCAGCTGTTTGCTACCCTTCCCGAGTCGTTCGATCCGTTGGTTACGGCACTGGAAAATCTAGGTGAGGAAAACCTAAAACTGGATGTTGTTCGCGAGCGCCTTCTTGCCGAGGAGCTCAAGAAAACCGACCGGGCAGCGGATTCCTGCCAAGAGAAACCTGCAGCATTCCAAGGATCGAAGCAGAAGCCTGGTAAGTTCACCGGAAAGTGTAACCGTTGCCAGAAGAAGGGGCACAAGGCCAAGGACTGTCGTGTGAAGTTGAAGACAGATGGGCGCGCTGAAGCTAACGCTGCTGCTGGAGGTAAGGCGGTGGCTTTTATGACCGGGAGATGCTCCCAAACAAAGGACGAGGGAGCAGTTTCCTTTAAGCTGGATTCCGGAGCCTCGGACCACCTTGTGAATGTGAAGCACTGTTTCGCCGACCTCACGAAGCTGAAGCACCCTGTCGTCATAAACGTGGCGAAGGATGATCAATCCCTGATTTCCCGGCACAGTGGCACGATCAACGGCGTCAACAAGGAAGGTAACTATATCAGCTTGAAGAACGTCCTCTTCGTACCAGATCTTCGAGCGAACTTGCTATCTGTGAAGAAGATGGCAAAAGCGGATCTTGATGTCACATTCAAGAAAAAGGAAGCGATCATGAAGCAAGGTCGTGACCTGATTGCGAGATGTCCCATGCGGGGCGATTTTTACGAGCTCGATCTCCGTGTCGATACGGTGGCGGCCAACATGTGTGGAGCTGTGACTGGTAACCTGTGGCATCGTCGACTGGCTCATTTGGGGAGCAAGAGTTTGCAGACACTCGCGAAGCATGGCATGGTAACAGGTATTCCCGAGAAACCAGATAAATTGGATTTTTGTGATGTTTGTGTTCTCGGAAAGCAGTGCCGAGAACCATTCACGGGTACTAGAGTCCGTGCTACAAGACCTCTAGAACGAGTGCACTCCGATGTGTGCGGTCCAATTACACCAGCGGCTTGGGATGATTCTCGGTACTTCGTCACCTTTATTGATGATTACACGCACTTTGCAGTAGTATATCCCATCAAGAAGAAGTCCGAGGTGTTCCAGAAGTTTCGAGAGTACGAGGCCATGGCGAGTGCCGCTCTGGGACATTCGATTTCGAAGCTGACTGTCGACCAAGGGCGCGAGTATTGCTCCAATGACCAGCGTGATTGGTACGTTTCCAAGGGGATCCAAGTCGAGCCAACCGCAGCGTACACACCACAGCAGAATGGAGTGTCCGAACGGTTCAATCGGACAATCGTCGAAAAGGTGCGTGCGATGCTGATTGAAGCCCAAACTCCGAAGAATCTGTGGAATGAAGCGGTTCTAGCGGCGGTATACCTGACGAACAGAAGTCCAACCACCGCGGTATCTGATTGGAAGACTCCTGCGGAAATGTGGACTGGTCACAAGCCGGACGTTAGTAAACTACGTGTGTTCGGCTGTAAAGCATTTGCTTGGGTGTCCACGGCACAGAGGAAGAAACTGGATCCGAAAAGCAAGCCTGCTGTGATGATCGGCTATGCGCCGAACGCCTACCGCCTGTGGAACAAAGAGAAGAAGCAGTTATTCCTAGCCAGAGATGTCAAGTTCGATGAAAACAATTTTCCGTTTGCCACCCAGATCCGTGACGAAACTCTTTTGGTTGTTGCTCCGTACGAGTTCGAGGATCAAGATGAGGAAGATCTGCAAACCCCTGAACAGTCCGTTCAACCCGATGAGCCGCTGGTGGCTCAACATGACGACATCCTGACTGATGATGAAGAAGGCGAGGTTGAAGACGACGGTGTTGAAGAAACCGGAGCGCTCCCTTCGCAACTAGACCGTGGTTCAAACCTCGAAATGGAAACCCCGAGGCGCAGCGAACGGGAGCGCAGACTCCCCGGTAAGTTGAAAGAATTTCTGGTTGGAAAAATTTTCACTGCCGCGCAATCCCATTCTGCAGATGTTCCCCATAACGTTTCCGATGTACTATTTGACGGTTCCGTTGGACGAGATGAGGTCGAGCGTTCGATCTTCGATGTCCCGGAGGCGTACAAGGAGATCGCTGGACGAGCCGACGAAGCTCTTTGGCAGCAAGCGGTCCGTGAGGAACTGCAGTCGCTAGCGGACAACCATGCTTGGCGATTGGTGAGATGCCCTGCTGGTGTGGTTCCGCTCAAATCGAAATGGGTCTTCCGAATCAAGCCGGACGAGCATGGCGAACCGATCCGTTACAAGGCGCGCTTGGTGGCGAAGGGATTCCAACAGAAGCCCGGAGTCGACTACAACGAAACATATTCCCCCGTAGCAAAGTTAGCCACGATACGAACCGTTCTTGCTGTAGCAACCCACCAAAGGATGCACGTTCACCAACTCGATGTGAAGACCGCATTCCTCTACGGTGAGCTTGAAGAAGACGTCTACATGGCAATACCCGAAGGAGTTGCAGCACCGCCGAACTTCGTTTGCAAGCTGGATCGATCGCTGTACGGACTCAAGCAAAGCCCCCGCTGTTGGAACAACAAGCTAAACGACCTTCTACTGGATTTCGGCTTTACCCGTTCCCGGCATGATTACTGTCTATATACCAGGATCGACGATCGAGGGAGGGTATACATAATCATCTACGTGGACGATTTGCTCATTGCTGGCGATCGACTGGACCTGGTGAAGGAGATCAAGCGTGCTCTTTCCAAGAAGCTCCAGATGACGGATTGCGGCGTGGTTAATCATTTCCTTGGAATGAAGATCCGATACGACCGCGCCACCGGATGCATGTACCTGGCGCAAGAAGCTGCTGTGGACCGTGTGCTGACGAAGTTCGGCATGCAAGACTGTAACCATGTCAAAACCCCAATGGAGAAAGGCTGTTTCCTGCCACCACAAGCTGCAAATCCTGTGTCGCATCCATACCGTCAATTGCTGGGCAGCCTGATGTATACGATGCTGTGTGTTCGACCGGACATATGCTACGCTGTTGGATACCTAGGGTGCTTCCAAGTTCAACCTGATGAGGCCCACTGGCAAGCCCTGAAGAGAGTGGTCCGTTACGTGAAGGGAACGAAGAACTTGAAGCTCCAGTACAAGCAAAACGACGACGCCGAGGCACTTGTCGGGTACGCAGACGCTGACTGGGCATCGGATGCTGAGGATAGGAAATCCGTTAGTGGCTTCGTCTTTAAGGTCTTTGGGAACACCGTGTCTTGGGCAAGCCGCAAGCAACAAACCGTTGCACTGTCGTCGTGTGAAGCCGAGTATGCAGCTTTAAGTGCCGCGGCCTCCGAAGGGCTGTGGCTGCACGGAATCCTTGAAGACCTGAAGCAAGTTCGACCGGACACGGCATTCAAGGTGTACGAAGACAACCGTGGGTGCATTGCAATGGCCACAAACACCGAAAGCAAGCGTGTCAAGCACATCGATGTAAAGCACCATTTTTTGCGCGACCATGTGGCACAAGGAAGACTTCAAATCGAAGCAATTGATACAGCAAACCAAATAGCGGACACGTTCACCAAGCCCCTGGAACCTGGACGTTTCCGCGAACTGAGGACCCTCCTAGGACTGACCGATTCAGGGGGGGTGTTGGAGTAAATCGGTAACGCAGTGTGCTGATCACCTCCTTGGAGACCGAACGTCACCCCTAGCAACCTAAGTTTTCTTAAATAAACAACGGTGAAAAACTTTTCATTCCTGTTCAAGACTCCACTCAAGCTAGTCGTTAAATAAAATCCATTCTACTTTTAAACTTTGCTGTTCCGGTTCTTTCTAACAATCAAGAAAACTGAACATTGCATTAGGTACTAATTAATTTCTCTTTGTATCCCCACGGCCAATTAAAGACATTCTCAGGTTTTTTTGGGCACAGAT